GGCGTCGAAAGAAAGACAAGCGCGTCATTACTCACGCCAAAAACACGTTCGGTAGAGATGGTACAGACCTACACGAATGTGCATTGTTCCTTCTCGATGCCAGCTGGGATTTTTCCCGCACTTTATAGATGAATTTCGGCCGTAACCAGAAAACAAGAACGGCGTTTTATCGGAAACCTATGATGGCCCTTCCTTTTTTGAGATGGCGACTGTACTCTTTCCCAACACACCGCCTCGGCCGGTAGTTTCGTTCCTAAATCGTAATTTCTAAAAGAAAAAAAAAAATGTCCCTAATTATGCGACGCACTATTATGCCACAGACCAAAGACCATTTTCACGGCGCTAGTGATCTTTGTATGTTGGCTACCACCGACTAAACCAATCACTTACAATGAATGTGGCGTGATCCTACTTTTTTAAAACATGAAAGGGGCTAATCATATCGGTCAGCTATTCAATTAAGTAAGATTTGTTAATGAACTTTTTAATTAGTGAAAATAGACATGACTCTAATTAGAAATTTGCCGACCGTCATCCAAATGCCCTAGATCAATAGTTTTCGGGAGTACTTTGGGCGCGTGAAAAGCGCACTATAGTGCGCTAAAGTTACCCCTCGTGCAGCAGGAAGAAGGCAACCGGTGCGATGAGGCGCCCGCACGATTCTTCCGTCTCTTATCATACATGCATCCCCTGCCTTGAACCTGCACCGTATCTAATATAGTTTTACTAACATACTTCGAAGGCATTTCGAGTGTAAGTTGAGTGCGGGACAAAGTGATACAAAATAAATACGAAACAAATGCTTCGTACTAAATACAGTCAAAATACGCTTCAAGTACGCCTCTTTTTTGTTCACTGAGGGTATTCGCACGCCTTCCTATCATTAATATGAATATTCTCGAGTTCTCTCGAGGTGATGAAGTTATTCGCGCCACACGGTGGGCGCCAGTTCGTCCTCGCGTGATATATTGGGTCCGCTAAAAGTGTCTACGTGCCACAATTTACGCCACTACGTGGCGCTTTCGCTTGTGACATCGACCGGGGCAATGGCACACGAGTCGCTCGCTCAAGACATAAATTATAAGCTTTGCATTTTCTTTAAAGCTAACTCTTGGCTAAAAGATATGTAATTACAACTTTTTTTTTACGACTTTTTTTTTTTTTACGTTTAAATAAATGTACCGATTAAAGACGGAGGACATCATCCACAACCTACCACATTGTTTTACTGTATTCAGTGTATCCTAGCTAGGCATGACCTGCCCTGATATCAAATCAGCTGCATGACATGGCGGTGACGATACCGACGAGCGCGTTGCTTTTACAGCACATCTTCTACATCACCAATTTCATTTTCTCAGCAGGAACAAGTATAAGAACGGCCTCTAGCATGATGCCATGCCATCAAGTGCTAGACATGTATACATAGACGTTTTGCAGCAGCTGTGGATGGGCGCCACCATAATCGGGCTTGTTTTTGTCTCTTCTTATTCGGTTTACTTCACTTGACAGTTGCTACAGCAAGAAAGGCCATTGCCATTTTAGATTCTATGCTGTGTACTCCCCCGCATAGGCCTTCGTGGAGGCTCGTCAACGCCCGCTTCGGTGGCTGCATGAGCATATCGGTAAGACAAGAGAATGTCAGCAATATGGCGGCTACAATATTAGCGTGTTGCCAGGTCAGAGCGACCTGGGCAACATGCAACGACAGGGTCACCGGGACAACTGTTCCATCGCGCCAACCGCCGACATGTGATCAGGGAAGCAGCAGCAAACAAGCAGAAATCGCGAAAGGACCTGTTCCGTCCAGTTCGGTGTTCACCCGATAGATGCCGTCTGTTTTGCCGGAGTTGCGAATACTAGCTCCATCTGCAATGAAGACAAGGCACCCGCGTGAGCTTAGCTCAACGGAATTATTTCGTTTATATCAGGACTCGTGCGCAGATCTAAGGCACATTCCTAAGCCACGCGCTCGTGCCATGCCTGTCTGCACTGCAGATGTCTGTGATTCGGTGTTTTGTTTGTTTGTTTGTTTGTTTTAAATCAAAGGCAAGCTTAAAAAACCTCTGACACGTAAAAAAAAAATTTTTTTTTTCATGCTAGGCGTTGAAATGGCATGTCAGGACATTAGAAAAAAATTGTTTCACTATAGAGGTGCGTAGTTTTTTTTATAAAAAAAATAGAAATAGGAGGCCCAATTCAAAGTTCCCGCCAGTGCACTGTGACGTAACAGTGTACCGCAAGGTGTCGGGGCGGTCAGAAGGAAGGCATCGACATACGTCACTAAAAGTGGGTTCGCAGGAAGTCACGTGAGTTTCACTCCTCGTGCTCTTTGCGACCGTGCCTACGACTTTTTCTTATTTTCTGCTCTTTGTATGAGCGATTGTAGAAAACGAAGTTTCAGTTCCACTAGCTCTTTATCGCTGCACCGTTGGTTAGTTTGCGTGCGGTAAAAGTTGAGGACGAAGAGTCAGTGGATCGACGTGATGGAGGTCAATGATGAAAGCGTTGCGAGTACACGCCAGTGGACGAGTGCGTGCCGTCAATCCGATGATATAGAGCTATACTGGGCACAAAAAAAGCTATCAAGTTTTTAAAAAAAAATTTTAGAACGCTCGCAGAAATTAGGATTGCTTGCGTACGACACGTCCAATTGCATTGGTGAAATGCATGCAGTGTGATCTCTTCTTCAGTTGCTGAAATACCGGGACAATCCCTCACACAGCACCTTCTAGGCACTTTAGTTGATCACGTCAATTCACTGACTCCTCTTCTTCTACCTTTACAGCAACATTGAGCGATGAAAAGCAAATAAAAGAAACCTTGTCTGTTTGGATATCGCTCGTGGAGGTGCGGAGAATAACAAAAATATTTAAAAAATATTACACGCGCTCGCGGTATGCACGAGGAGGGATACAACTCACGTGATTTCCGGCGATGCCTCCCTTCTGACCGCCCCGACACCTTGCGGTACACTGTTACGTCACAATGCACTGGCGGGAACATTGAATTGGGCCTCGTATTTCTTTTAGAGCGCAGCTCTTAGGGGCCCGTTCCCGGCTTGAGCGGCGTCGGCGTCGCCGTCGGCGTAACCAAGGTCATCCCAAGGTCACGTGACCCCTCCTAAGGTCATCTCAAGGTCACGTGACCCCCAAGGTCACGTGACCCCTCTCAAGGTCATCTCAAGGTCACGTGACCCTTTGAAGGTCACGTGACCCCTCTGAGGTCACGTGACCCCTCTGAGGTCACGTGACCCCCGAGGGCACGTGGTCTCCTCCCCAAGGTCACGTGACCCCTCCCAAGGTCCTCAAGGTCACGTGACCCCAAGGTGACCCCCACGTGACCCCCCGAGGTCACGTGACCCCCAAGGCCACGTGACCCCCTGAGGTCACGTGACCTTGAGGGGACCCCCATGTGACACCCAAGGTCACGTGACCCCCAGGTCACGCCTCCCCGAGGTCACGTGACCCCCCTCCCCGAAGTCACGTGACACCCCCCCTGAGGTCACGTGACCCCCCCCCCCGGAGCATATTAAAGAATGACGGGAGGAGGAGGAGAAGGAGGAGGGGTCTACCCTCCCCTCAGTACCCTTCACTCCTCCTCCTCAAGAGCTGCGCTCCAATTCGGCGTTACAGGGAGTTGTAAACGGCTTTCACTTTTTTTAATTAAAAAAAACTACGCACCTCTATAGTGAAACAATTTTTTTGTAATGTCCTGACATACCATTTCAACGCCTAGCATGAAAAAAAAAAAATTTTTGGCGTGTCAGAGGATTTTTGAACATTCAGTATTTTAATGAACTCGCAATGTTAATACAAACAGTAGTGTAAAAGTAAGAATGATTGTGCCTCACAAAGTGTTCATTGTGTTTTGGCTCGTCATAATGCTTTTTTTAATAACTAAAAAGTGTAAGTTGCATTTTTTTTTTATTTGATGTACTTAGATTTTGGCCGCAGTGTCAAAACAAATTACAGCAGCTTGTCATACATTCAATATGTTAATTTTTCTCTTGTACATTTTGCTGCCACAGACCTTTGATGATGTTTTAAATCTTCACACTTTGCAAAGACTAATTTTAATTGCTACAGTTCCTACATGGACAAGGGCGCTCACATTTTCCTGTTTGTCTTTATATCTACACATTTCGCTCACCACACCGTAGATTCCCAATTTAATATATTTTAATCTATTAATAACTGAATAAAGAACTTTTCAAATTGTTTTGTCAATTAACATTTCGTGCTATTATACCGTGAAAATGTTCCTTCATAAAATTAAGTCACACCTTTTACTTGAAACTTTGCCTTGTGACTTCAACAAAAACAAAACTTACCTCAATTATAATTTGTTCCTCTGACAAAAAAATAAAGATGTATAAGAAGAAAGCTGGTCTTACTATATCTGATGAGTTCTTCGGTGTGTTCTGAACGTAAAAAGTTGTGCTGGACAATTCCTTTACAAAAAAATTCGAGTGACGGGCGAAGCGCAGTCATTACCGGTAAAGGAGCGCAGTCACAACGCTTGATTGTCCGACCAGAAACAATTGACGTAATTTCTTATTAGGCATTAAAAATCGGACGATTCTGCCCAAATTTCCGAAGTCCTGCCCTTCTGACAAGATGCTCAAAAGCAGTTTGTGAATGCACGTATTTTGCTTCTAAGCAGAAATTTCTGGCTCGGAGTCTGATTCAATCATTCTAGCACGCTTTACAAAAGCAGGCCCTGAAAATCACAGATTTGAAAGAAAACTAGTCATTCCACTCTTCTTAAACCTAATGTGACTATAGGTTAGAATCCACATATATCGAAGTATACGTTTCGAATCAGGCATTTCTAAAAAGGTACTTTCGAACCACCTTCCAAGTCGTCTTGGGCTTGACGTTTCGTATCTTCAATTTTAAATCCTTGTGAGAAAAAGAGGTTTCCGCAAGACGTTGTTTTTCCACGGGCAATCCGAGCAACTCGGCAACTCGAGCAACATCGTCATCCGATGGCGCCGATCAGACGTTTCTTTCGCTGTCCCTGTTCGTCTGTCGCGACCGGAGCCTGAGGATGTCGAGCATCTTTTGGCGCTTCTCCTCCATCAGGTTGTCCCTCCGCTGGTGAATGTAGTCCCGGATGTTGGGCAGGCCGGCGATGACGCAGGCGGCCAGGGCCGACCGCGACTCGTTCATGTCCGTGGCCTCGTACCACTGGTCCGTGCTCGGGTCGTAGCATTCGACCAGGTTGGTCGTGCTCTCGCCGTTGAAGCCGCCGATGGCGAACACTAGGTTGTCGATTATCTGCGACGGACGTTGAACAACCGTTGCAGGTGCGATCCCTATAGTCGGTGACAGGTCAAGAACGAAGTGGAAGCTCTTCCACCCCTTTCCACTTCTGCGGAGCGAATGGTGGAAAGGAGGTCGCCTCCTCTCCAGCGTTCGCTCTGCCAAAGGGGAGAGAGTTGGGAGGAGCTTCCACTTCGTTCTCGACCAGGCACCGACTATAGACCTTTTCCACAAGGGCGCCGCCATCTTGAATTGTCGTCACTTCCAGTATGGGCGACGAAAAAAAAGTAAAACGTTTCAACCTGTAACTAGTAAAAAAATAGAGGCGAGCCAAAACGAGAATGTGTGACGGTTAGGCTTATATCCTAAATGTCTTCTATTGGCGTGGCAACGGCAAAGTTACGTTTTCGCCCATACTGGAAGTGACGTCAATTCAAGATGGCGGCGCCCTTGTGGAAAAGGTCTATAGACCGTTTTATCGTGGGTAGCGCCATTTTGAGAGCGAGAGAGAAAAGGAGAAAGGGCTACCGGCGCTTTTTTCCTTTCTGATTGTGTAGAAAGAGTGGAAGTCCCGAATGAGAGGCTTGGCCGGTGTTGGGCGTCTGCAGTGCCCCAACTTCGTTCGCGCTTTCTTCTACGTTTCAAACTCCCAAACTTAATTAGAGCCATGGTCTTTGATGGCGACAGTCCCCCGGTCATCGGGACACCAATGCTGGGTGATAGGGTGCACAAATAACGACAGAAAGCGTCGAATACTGTCCGAGGACCTATGTAGCTTGCATGGAATCCGGCAAGGCAAGTACGGCTCTAATGTTTTTAAGCTCCATTGCTTTCCGCATGACTGGAAATGATGAATCATTTATACATTTTTGCCAGCAATGGGCCTATTTAAACGTAGCCGCTTTTAGTTGTAATCAGCAAGCGATACACGAAACGGCAACCTCAATTAACTTTGTAAACGCCCGGAGCTGCTATATAACGTCTTGCTGTGCTGTTTTTATCTTCGTGTCCCTGTTCTTATATTTCCTTGTGAATGAACAACGAAGACGCTCGAGATATACTTTTATCGAACCGCAGAAAGCCTCGAAGCAGCCACGAATTATTTTACTATTTGATGCAATATTTTGAGTACTCACCTCCAATTTCTATAGCTGGCACGTTCGCTGCCGCTGTTCCCCCCGTCGCCACACTGGCGGATGCCATGACTCAAACAGAGAAACGTGCACACTGGGCTCGAAAACGCAGATCGCAACACACGAGTCGTTCCCTGCAGCGACTATCAAGCGCCTCAAAGCGCCTTAGTCAACGGAAACAACCCACCAGCGGCACTCCAAGGAGCGCTTTTGCCGGCTCTCTTGTATCGCGCAGGAGATCGCAATAATAAAAAATAATAATAATAATAATAAAAAAAAAACAATAGAACTACGTTTTCAACCATTTCCAGCCTCACCCGGCGGCGGAAATAAAAGCCTTTAACTAAGTGTTGTAGATGATAAAATCGATTCAGTCACCACTACAAATTATCACTATTAAGATAAATTCAGTTACGAAATTTTACAAGCTGAAACAGCAGTTATCATGAGAAAACTCGCACGCACATTGCGAGCGTACCCCATGTTCATCGGCGGTACAGCGTTCGGTGCGCGCTCCATTCACGAAATGTTCCGAGCGAAGTCGAGAGGATGGCGTTGAGGAAACGCCTTTTCGGTTTACGGACGCAAGCAATCCACTGCCCCCGGAGACAGGGGTCATGTGGAAAGCGATGGAGTTCAAAGACATTGCAGCCGCTCTCGCCTTGCTGGATTCCTTGCAAGCTACATATGTCCTCGGACAGTATTCTATGCTTTCTGTTTTTATTCGTGCACCCTATGACCCAGCAATGGTGTCCCGATGACCGGGCGACTGTTGCCATCGAAGCCCCTGGCTTTAATTAAGTTTGCGAGTTTAAAACAGAAAAGAAAGCGCGAACGAAGTTCGCGCACAGCAGACAGCCAACACCGGCGAAGCCTCTCATCCGGGACTTTCACTCTTTCTACACAATCAGAAAGGGGGAAAGCGCCGCTAGCCCTTTCCCCTTTTCTCTCTCGCCCTCTTTCAGTAAAACGGTCTATAGACTGCAGGCGGCGTTGCGATCGCCGCTGCGGCCATTACGTGTACTACACTGCTGTTTATTCCGCGTCGCACTCAACAAGCGAGAAATGAAATTAAACGCTACTGTACCCCCAAGAAATCTATTGTCAACCGTTATTGCGGGAAAATCGGGGAAAGTGCAAGAACTTTCGCCGAACCTCAAATGAGAGTGAGCATTATTATAAACCAGCATAATATGCATGCTGCGGTATAAGGCAATTAATCACTCTGTTGTCCCTTCATCTTGCCATACCATGTCAATGCAAGCAGGGAAACATACGAGTAACGTGTAGCGTTGACGAAGTTTGGCTTATCATGTTCTTTATCATGGTCCCCGGAAAACGCACAGATATATATGCCTGGCACAGTAAATGACAACTTAAGAAACGCGGGGTGTGGTGAGTCCCGAGCATATTATTACTGCTTTGCAGCCAATGACACCCAAGCATTAGCCAACAAGATTGTCTAGAAAAACGAATCTCGAAGAGCCACGCCTTGAATTTTTTAGAAGCTGTCGGTGACTATTAGCACCGAAATGTTTCGGTGGCGCCCTCTTACGGTTCCCGTTCGTGACGTCATGACCAGAGTTTTTCTCGCTGTGTCGTCATGAGTCGTAATCATTGACTACGTGTCATCAGTTGCGAACTTGAACTTCGATATGGTATACAAGATTGTTGTTGATTTTAAGCTTAACAGATTTGTTTACAAAAAAAAAAAAGCCGTGAAAGCTACACTTATGCGGTTTGTGCATGTGAGTTATACGGCCAGGGGGACATAGTACATAGGGGACTAACCGTAACGATCAGTTGGCTAATGAAGTAAAATTTTTAATCAACTTTTAATTAGTTAAAATAGACATACGGTTTCAATTAGAAAGTTGCTGAAGGTCAATCGAAAGCCACTACATCAGCCATTTTTACGAAAGCTTTGAGCGCGTGAGAAGCGCAGTAGTGCGCTAGAGTTTTCACTTGTGCAGCGGGAGCTACCGGTGCGATAATGCGCCCTCACGATTTTTCCGTCTCTTATCATAGCCCAGACTTGCACCTGTTTCAGGTGTGGTATACATTCAACGCACTACTAAGCTTCTTACGCGCTCAAAGTATTTATAAAAATGATTGATTTAGTGTTTTTCGAGTACACTCAGCAAGTTTCTAATTTGAATCATGTCTATATCATTAATTAAAAAGTTAATTTACAAAGTTTTCATAATTATCCGACCGATCGTTATGTTTAGCACCCTATACTATGTCCCCCTGGCTGTATGACTCACCTGCATTGCCCGCATAAGTGTAGATTTTTAAGCTTAACAGATTTGTTAAGCTTAAAAAACACACCCTGCAGTGCATGTGAAAAGTAACAATGGAAGCTTCGAGTCGTCGTATTCCTAAACCAACGTCGTTACAATAGACTGATCTCACCAAGCGTTCCACGCATGCGTGACGCCGCCATGACTGTAGTTCGTAGGAGGCAGACGCCAGTTCACGAGACAGCTCATGCCGCCTCGTGCTCTGCTCGCGCAGACCTCCAGCAGGGTTGTCGCGCGTGCAGAAAGACTACAGCTCCCACGATGCATGTCGGCAGCGGTGGCGTACTCAAACTAGCTGGTGAGATCGGTCTATAGGAAGTATTCACTGGCGGCCATAGCTGTGTGCGCGACTGCTGGGCGCGTGCTGATGGCGAGCTTCCACATTTATTTTGTAACGTGCATTCCGCACCCTCAAAATTGCCGGTCTTAGCAGCCTATTAATGTGGGCTCGTTTTGAGCATGCACTCTAGACAGCACCCACAAATATGGCGCCCAGTGAATACTCCTTATGGACACTCTGGCAATGCGCTGAGTTCACGAGACAGCTCGTGCCGTTTCGTGCTCTGCTAGCGCAGACCCTGGGTGGGTCTATTGTTCGTGCAGAAAGACTAAAATTCCCACGATGCATGGCGGCAGTGGTGGCGAAACGAAACTGGCGGTGAGATCGTTCTATTCCGACCACTGCGGCGCTTTTGGACGCGCGCGTCGCTAATAGACGACGTAACGTTGGCGATACGAAGGTCGACAGCATGTGTGTTCTATACACTTCATCTGTTGCGCTACCTCTCGGCAAATCTATGGTAAGCGCCTCGACTGCTGCAAGAGCGTGTGCTCGACTTACGGCGACGGAAAAGTTGCTCCTGGGCGTGTACATGTTGGGCAACGTAGTCCAGATGTTGGTCTCCGCGTTGTACTTCTCGGCCGAGCAGAGCCTCGAGGTGCCGTTGAATCCTCCGATAGCATACACGAAGTTGCGGAAGCCGATGCATCCCACGCCGCTGCGCCGAAACCTCATGGGAGCGATCATCAACCACTGGTCGGCCGTCGGGTCGTAGCGCTCGGCCGAGCTGAGGCATTCGTTGCCGCTGAAGCCGCCAGTCACGTACACGTAGCCATCGTGGGTCGTCGCACACGCGTCGCTCCGCTGAACGTTCATGGGCGCGATCATGGTCCACTGCAAAATGTCCGGAGAGGGAAGCGAGGTTCACACCGCGGGACCAAGTTTCGCGGAACTTAAAGGGAAGCTATGGAGCTTCGTGAAAAAAATGAGTTAGAAGTGAATTCTAGTGTATTTTTACCCCGTGAACCCGAATACCCAAGCCATTTGCTGCGCAAGTATTGTTAAACGCGAGAAAATGCGAAAGACAGTCGCTGTACGTGACGTCATCGACGGATCTTTTGGCTGCCCAAGGCTAGGGAGGGGGGGCTTCAGCCCTATATTTATATTGCTCTTATGTCTCTCCGGCGCGTCGCATTGAAATAAAATTGTGATATCTGTTATTTTAAAGGCCAGATTAACGCAACTTGTGCGTTTTTTCTCAAATGAAGAAGTGCCCCATCTTCCCTTTAAGAGAGACAGGCATGGTTCAAAAAGTGGCACGGCTACGGCCTAAAGCCCCTTATGCGTAAATAAAATTAATGCAATGTATGGTCCAAAAGGTTTCGTCTCACTGGCGCCTTCGCTCAAAAATGGCGTCGTGAAGCCACAGAGAGAGAGCCTGGTAGAAGAGGAATAACGCTACTTATTTCTTACAGCGGAGCTGTTTGGGGCTAGGTACCCCAGGATCGTGTCTACCAGCAAAATAATTGTGACATAGAACTCTGGACCGCTACCGCCATCTAAGAGCGACGGCGGCAACCAGAAAGCAGATTGCCGCCGTCGCTTATAGATGGTGCCAACCTTTCTTCGTTTCGTACATTCAGTAGTGAAAAATCAGCAGTCATGATTTTTAACAAAAATGAAGTTGAGAGTTTGAAAATACAGAATATTACAGATGAGAGAGCTAACAAATACAAGTATCTAGGAGTATGGATATGTGATGGTGCAGAATATCTCAGTGAGCATGAAAAGTATATAATAGGTAAGGGCAACAGAAATGCAGCTGTAATAAAAAATAGAGCACTTTGGAATTACAACAGGTATGAGGTGGTGAGAGAAATTTGGAAAGGAGTCATGGTGCCTGGCTTGACTTTTGGAAACGCAGTGCTATGCATGAAATCCGAAGTGCATGCGAGACTAGAAATAAAACAGCGCGGAGTAGGTAGACTGGCTTTGGGGGCACATTGCAAAACGCCAAACCAGGGAGTACAAGGAGACATGGGATGGACGTCTTTTGAGAGCAGGGAAGCGGTGAGCAAGATAGAATTTGAGGATCGGTTGAGGCAAATGGATGGGGACCAATGGGCACGAAAGGTTTTCAGCTATTTATACATGAGGAGCATAGACACAAAGTAGAGACAGCGCACTAGGAAATTAAGAGGAAAGTTTTTAGGCTATAGTGGAAATACGGAAGAGCAGGTCTCAGTTAAGAAGAAAGTTAAGGCCACAGAAAGAGATCGGTGGTTAGACGGAATGCAGACAAAGACGGCTCTAAAAAGCTATGGATGAAACAAAACAGTTACTGCCAAAGAATGCATTTATGACAATTCTAGGAGAAGCTCGTTTGAGGCGAGGACGGGTGCTCTGCGAACCAGAACATAGGGAGCGAAGTACCAGGAAATTGATACAGTGTGCACTGCTTGTGGAGAGGAGGACGAGACGGCTGAGCACTTGATACTCTACTGTAAAGGGCTTCATCCTATGCCTACCGAAGACAACATAGATTTTGATATAGTCATTGGGTTTTAGAGACAGCGAAGGGAAAGTGGATTTCAAGACAGTAGAGATTACCAAGCAAAGATTAAGTGAATAGTGGCAGAAAGCGAGAGAAAACTAGGTATTTTCTTATTAACTGATGGCAAGGGGGTTTCATAGCCCCACTTTCTTTGCAGTGCGGAATGAATATAGTTTTAACATTTAAATATTCTAAGCTTAAATGGTGAAACAAAATGGCTACGTGGCATAAGCCACCGTCCGATCCAAAGGGCTCAGCCGCATTCATCCATCCATCCATCCTTCGGAGGCAAGAGTTTGGCCAGTGGGTGTGGCGACGAAGGCGCCGGAGAGGAGAAAAGTGAAGGAAAAGGAGGAGAGCGCCGAAGGACCGGGAGAGAAAGAAGGGAGCGAAGAGGAGACGACCGCCATTTGCCAGTGTTGAGGCTATGCGTCGTGTGCTACGGGAGTATTTCTCTTTCGCCTGAATAAACGTTTGTGTTAAAACGTGTACAAACTACATTCGTTAACTTTTTAGCCACCGAGGAATAACACTATATCATTTTCTTGCCAGAGCCTGCCAAATAAAGGCAAGAACCAAAATTTGCATGTTGATCCCATGCATTCCGCCGGGCGAATGAACGAAAATGGCGCGCCGCTGTTTTCGCCAGCGCATTGAGGGAACTGTGTTTTCAATTTCCAGATCTTGCGTAAAAAAAAAAAAAAAAAAAAAAAAAAAAAACGTTATTTTGGAATGCTGTGCTGAGCGTAATAGGGCTGACATTGATTACAAACTATACGGTCGGCTGCCACGCACGATGTCAGCGCGAAATGTTACGCATGAGCAGCACCGTGGCGCCTCACACTTCTGGCTTCCTGATTGGTTATTCGGCTTTCCTCTTGGGTAATGCCGCAACTTGATTGGCTGTGGAGCGACAGTATGCGGAGAGCAAGTCGTCTGCTCCTTGCTCAGGAGTTGCGGTGACGTCAGAAAGACGCCGAGCTCTGATTGGCTCTGGTTGAAGGATAGTGGGTAGACCTGAACGATAGATGTCTTGAGCTCCACCCACTATATTTCTAAATCAGCCAATGAGAGCGCGGCGTTCTGACATCATCGCAACCCTTCTGCAAGGAGCAGACGAACTTGCGCTCCGCACAATGCTGTAAACTCGCCACGCCCCCATTTCCCAAGTTGCCGGCGACAATGGCGTCGGTCGAAGCACGAGTGGGGTGCAGAAGAACGCTAATCACGGGCCACGACGTTACGATTCGGCGCAGAAGAAAGAAGAGAACGGCAGCACCTGATTGGTCCGGTAGTCAAACTTCTCGGCGGTGTTCTGCCTGTGGCGACCATCGTATCCGCCCATGGCGTAGATGATGTCGTTGAGAATCGCCACACTCACGTAGCACCTGAAACCAGAATTGAAATACAGGCGATGTATGTATATCGTTATATATATATATATATATATATATATATATATATATATATATATATATATATATATATATATATATATATATAACGGGCATGGTGGCGGGAGTCCGAAGGCGTGGGTATAAAACTGAGAAGAAAAAAACCCTTAGTGAAAAACAACAACAACGGACGATTTATTCTTCGACGTTTCGGCCGGAGTCCGGCCTTCGTCAGGAAGCTTCCTGACGAAGGCCGGACTCCGGCGGAAACGTCAAAGATTAAATCGTCCGTTGTTGCTGTTTTCACCAAGGGTTTTTTTCTTCTCAGTTTTATATATATATATATATATATATATATATATATATATATATATATATATATATATATATATATATTATATATATATATATATATATATTCTTTTTTTTTTTAATGATGGGTTTGAGATCAAGCGACATATTTTCGAATAAAAAGTGAATACGTGTCTGCAATTTTTTTTTTTAATTCTTATTTTTTACGGAATAGTGTGATTCTTCATTTATTCGCGCGGAGGCGAACATGTTCCTTGGGTAAACTTGGATCATATAAAATTCAATAATTAAGCACCATTAAACGCTAAATATCTGGAGGAAAAAAAATAATATTAGGCTCTTAAATTGACATATGAAAACCTCTATGTGGTTCAATGGGTTGCACATTGTTTTAGGCGAGGTTTATTTCATACACATCATTGCGACTAAAACCTTAACGATTACCGTTTCTTTAACAGTTGAGTATATAATAGCCAAAATTACCGAATACGTTAGCTGGATATAGCGACTCAATCCAGGTACCTCGTAGCCGCTCTAAAGTCTAAGGGCAGCGCACGCCATTCGGTAATCGTCTCAAATATTTATATCACGCGAGCTGTCGACAGCTTAACTTACTCACCGTGTGTGCTCAATTATGTTCGCTCTCTTTTTTTTTGCGATTTTTTTTTGTCTTTTTTATCGAAACAAAAGTCGGCAATTTTGTGTACTGCTTAGCAATAATGATACGCCAGATTACACCATTTCGCCGGCTGGCGACTACCAAAATTGCGGCCTCAACGTCTATACTTGATGACGGGTTTAACAGTTTACGAGGAGCCCCTCCCACCTCTTCCCACTTTAACAAAGCGAACACTGGAGAGGAGGTCGCCTACTCGCCTAGCGCGATCCAAACCAACGCTTCTTTTTGCGCCTGTAGGTCGTGCGGCTGCGGATGTGACGCATTTCGTGGCGTTTTTGCTGTTTCCGGGCGCGCTTTCTGAGTCAGAACCGTGCGCTTTGGTTTGGACGGGCGAAACTTCGGGCGAGCGCGCACGCGCGCACGCAGGCACGAGCGCACAAGCAAAGTGCAACTGCGACAGACTGGCCGGCCAGACGGCGAGAGAAAGAAAGAGAGAGAGAGATCGCGTTGTCCTGTTGGAAGATAATAAAAGGGAGGGAGGAGAGGGCAGCCAGACGGCGAGAAACGCGGAGCCGGAACTAGCTTGGCCTCCACCGATTGGCCGGGACACAGGAGCGCCCTACTACGTCACCGCGCGTTTTTGTGCGCGTTGAGAAAGAAGTTGAAATCAACCAACTTTCTTGTGCGCGCCCGGAAGGAGCGAAGAAGCGGCGCGACGTCACGAAAATACGTCACATCCGCAGCCGCACGACCTACAGGCGCAAAAAGAAGCGTTGGTTTGGATCGCTCTTTAGGGTTCCTCGATGCGCGCGCCCTCTCGCAGGGTGATGTCAGCCTTTGAAAGGGCAAGTGCCGCCTCCGGAGCGTCGGCGCGGCCGCGGCGGCCATTACGTCGCCCACGACCGGCCTGTGTGTCGAGCAGTGTGTCGAGATTGAAATTGTAGAAATAGATGATTCGGAGATTTTGTTTCTTGGAGAGCTGTCATCAAAAGAGTGCCAGATTCTCTTGTACCTTGGGGGATTTATCTTGAAAGGAATGCTGAAATCCGTGAAGTGCGCAGAATGCAAAGAGGGTCTCCTCGGAACTGCCACCAGGCATTGACTGCACTGAAGGAGTATGTTTGCGATGGAGGGAACCTCATTTATCCAAGCGCCGGAGTTATGAAAACTTTGAAAGACTACGAAGAGCACTTCACGGCCATAAACTCCTGGTGCACAGACAAGATAATTACAATCAGGAATTCGTTCACTTACGGCTTACCTAAGGAAGGTATACCGATCACGCCTGGAAGTCTGCACGGATCACAAAAAGGCTATATACAGCATGCTTACCGAAAGGTATGCGAGGCTGAGGTTACGAATCCACCTTCGACAGCTTCCAGCAGGTAGTTCGAACAGTTATGGAAGCAAAACTTGTGCCGGTGTCAATCTTTCGTAAAAGGTCAACACTAAGCCAGTGTTATAGCTCGGAATTGTGGCCTTGTTAGGTCTGTGTTTTTTTCTCTGTGAACTTAACTCGCTGTTGCTTGCGCGCCCGTTCCCGCTGAAACCTCGCCTGTAGATACGAATTATAAGTTTATTTTAACCGCAAAGTTGACTATAGAACTGGTGTGGTTCGCTCGCAACAAATCGCATTGTTTCAATAAAATCTGTTCCAAGTGATTTGAAGCATTGTGCTTTGCTTTTGCCTGAAGCGAGTGTACCATATTCTCACACTGCTTAAAAGCACATATCGTAAGAGCTTTACGTTTCACTGAAACAGTCACACGGGCTAATTATACATATACATTACATTAGGGCCGGGCATCGATTAAAAATATTAACCCGATTAATCGCCACCCTTTAATCGATTAATTAATTGGTCTCGTTCATTTCCATGCATGCATTTCCATACTGCTTAAAAATAAAAAAAATCATCTTTTTTTTTTTTTTTTTGCTGAATATGTGGTAAACGACGCAATAATTTCAATTATGAATCAACTTGGATGTACAGTTGAGAACAGTTCAAAAACACTCAAACTCACAGATTACTACTTCAGCTCCATGAGACAAAATGTTCGTTGATATTCTCCGAGATGGGCGGCTTCCTTTGATTGCTCACATTAGTCTCTGCTGCGCTAAACGGGCACTCGCACGTCGTTGAAATCGCTGGGACATGTGAAAACCTTCTGCACTGGTATGAAGTTACAAATCTCCCTCTTATGGTTTTCCTTAAGTTAATATTTCATCTAAAGTTTTCACTTCATATATGTGTGCTCGTCCAGGTCTGCTTGGTGAAAGCATTTAATTTTTATTTAATTTTCATTCGTCAAATTTTTACCGATTAACCGGTTAAACAAATTAAGCGTGATTATAGCATTAATCGGTAGGTTCATCGATCAATTGCCCAGCCCTAGAAATAATCAATAACAAAATAATCACTAATTACTATATGCCTACTCAATTTAATCTTCGAATCGTGGCATAGACAGACATACAAAAATATTCCCTTTAGGGTTTGAGCCTGACACCAAGCACTAATCGGACAGCTGTGCACGGCAGTATCTTTTATTCCAGAAGCAAACTGCACAAACCAATCTGCGGGCAAAATGCCCTGCATGAGCATTTTTGCTGAGCATGTATATATACATCTCCGCAAAGACATACACCAGACTTTCAGAATAAAAATTAAAAAAAAAAATGTTGCTAATTCTGACGAGGACTGTGGAGTAATAATAATAATAATAATAATACTTTGTTCACAGATCCGCATCAAAGTACGAATGGTACCTTGAGTACTGAATGGGTTGAACGCATCGTTTAGATGCTACTTGTGGTTGTGTCAGCGGCCGCGCGCATCAGTCCCAGCAGCTTCACGCTGCCAATACGAGGACGCGTATAACTCGTGTCCTTAGCCAACACAGTGATTCGTGGTCTTCGTCAACATGACCTTTCAAGCCTAATGTTTGAAGGCTTAGTAAGGCCTGTCATGTTGCATATTAAAATATTTTTGATTATAGTGTGGAGCTAAAAAAAAACTGAAGTGCAACATGAGCACAAGTTTCAGCGCTAACTTGCGAGTATAGTTTAAAAAAAAATCGTTGATCCTTTACAAGCGACGCTGTGCATAACTTTTCGCAACCATTCGGTTCTGTTCTTGCTTTTGTAATAAACATTTCAGCAGCAACAACATTACTTTTTGTTTAAACTCCTTAAAACAAGCTTGCGAATGTGCGCTTCCTTGTGAATATTGCCCCCGCCGCAAGCGGCGGCACGCTCTACGCAAGCCGCCCGTCGGGGTGGGCGCCGTAATGGCGGCCGTCGTAGCAGACGACGCAGTTGTCCTCACCCTCCAGCGGAGCGCGCGCGCATTGAGGAACCCTATCTAGCGTTCGCTCTGCTAAAGTGGAAAGAGGTGGGAGGAATTTCTCCTGAACTCTTATTCTGTCAGCGACTATAGTCGCCGGTCAACGTACCGCTTGACGTGCATAGGTGTCACCGAGCGCCACATCTTGGTCTTGGCGTTGAAACAGCGCACGCTGCTGAAGTAGTCCTCACCATTGAAGCCCCCGATGACATAGATGTCGCTGCCGATGGCCACGCACTTGTGGTACGCTCGGGGGCCCTCCGGATCCACGCTCTCCACCTACGTCGCTCTACTTGTACTTCATGTAAAGTCGCCCGGGCCGGCATTCAAGTTAAACAAATCACACTTGCTTATCTCTCGCTATGCACGAGCAATGAAATGGTTTCAACCGAGAGCGCCGTCAGAACCACGAGCCCAAACACGTTGCCTTAAACAGGGATTCCACTGCCCGAGCACGGCTGCGCAGCAAGAAGACTTAAAGCCAGAAAGCTTATTCGTGTCGCATTGATAATTCTTAGCTTCTGATTTCTTGCGAGTTATCCCACAGGTCCAGGGTTAGCCAAAAATAATGCTCGTGCCGGGACCTTTCACGGCGTTGTATGCAGAGCGCAAGCTCGTCTGATCCCTGCGCAGGAGCGGCGATGATGTCAGAACGTCGAGCACCTATTGACGGACTGAAAAAAAAAATTGTTGGTAGACCTCAAGGCATCCAGCATTGAGGTCTACCCACTATATTTTCAATAAAAGCCAATAAGAGCTCGGCGTCGTACTGACTTCATCGCAATTCCTGCGCAAAAAGCAGACAACTTACTCTCCGCATATGTTCGTGGCTTCGGAAAGCGAGAAAAACACGCGACATACGTAAAATCCCTAAGATGACACCTGCCAGAAGCTCTTTATTGAAATGGTTTACACCAACAGAAATCTAGAATTTCGAAGCCTGCAAGCATCCTCCTGTTCCTCGAACCCAGTAATAGGCCTTTTTCTCTCGGCTAGGGGGCACCGCAGCGTTCACGAGACGCGAGCACAAAAGAGGCGCCTCTACTAGCGTCGGCGACAGGCAACCGTTTAATGCCGACGTGCATGATGGCGTCCTAGCGTCCCAGCATGCACGATCCACAAGCATAAACTACCATCTGTCGGCATGCCTCAGTGTCTGTCTAAGGGGCACTGACAGAGTGTTTGAAAGAACGCAACGTCACACATAACAGAAACGCGACCTAAAATTGATCAATTTTACTCGACAGGGACGCTGCTCAAACCTTGAGAGCCACATCCCTATTGTACTTGAGCGCGATGCCAAAAGTCCATCGACGCGTTGATTGGACACGAACAAGGCCTAACCGAACGCCGACGCACAACTTGTGTCCAATCTGTCTTCGCTAATTTCACTGTAATGACGTCGAGATTCTAGTGCACAGGCTTTGAATATTCTACGTGCACCACTCACAACATGAGAATAGCAGGGCCACTATTTTGAATGCCCGGCCTACAGCACAAGCTTGTTGCCTTCAGCCGCGCATTGGCCGCGAGGGAACGCTCGAAGCACAGGAGACGCCAAAATCTGGAGGTACGCGCTGAAAGTAAAACTAAGGTGCCTCTATTTTGGGCGGGACGACTGAAAAGACCTCCAAGCTGTTTCATACTCTTGTCGGTGACTCTAGTTTCGTGATGCGTACGAGACAACGTTATGCACCTTGATCCAGCGGTCGGCCTTGGTGTCGTAGCTCTCGATGAACGCCGTGGGTCCTCCGGACATCCAGCCGCCGATGACGAACATCATCTCGTGCGGTATCCGCGGCCGGGCGAACACGGGCGTCGGCACCTCGTCGTTGTGTACCACCACGTCCAGGTCGTACAGGAAACGCAACGTGTCGATCACCAACGGCCTGCCGATGCGAAGAGCACGCGCGCAATCGCGCACCGTGACGTCGTGTGTGTACCGTACGAGCCAGATAGAGCCAACTTACTCTAAATAAAAATTTAAAAAAAAATAATTACTTTTAATACTATTACACTGCAATTTACCGTGAAGGTGAGAATATCGAAGAGTACACATTCCTGAATAAGTAGTTGAAAGGAAAAATTGAAATTTTTCAAACGCTTAATGTGGGGTTAAGCCTTTTTCAAGTCGAAGGCAATTAGTATCTTTTCTTGTGAAGATCATCCCTCGTTATGCTGACAAACGTTGCGAAACTTTCTCAACTATGGTGCCTGGAACGCGTCTCCGACTGGGGTGTTTACCGTGTCCAAAAAAGTGGTCCCTTGATTTCCGCCTGATGACGTCATAGAGGTGTCATGCTGTCGCCGGTCGCGATCCTGGCGGCGTCCCAACAGCTGTAGCGTATGTGCCAGACTCCTCTTCTGCAGCAGGTCGCTCTCCAGTGTGGCAGTCCATGGAAGCTTCGGCAGCCCGAAGTCGGGACGCCGTGACGGCAGCGGCACTCGCGTTCGGTTGTGCTACTCGCAGCTTCTCGTTAGCATTTCTACGACCAACCGCGAGGATTGCGACATGCAACAGCATGACACTTCGACTTCTGTGACGTCACTTGTTGCCACTTCGGGACCACTTTTGATGTATGGGCAGCGTAGGACGCTAAACACACCAGCCGAAGACGCGCTTCAGGGACGATACTCCAACTAAAGCAGTAATCTTGCTTATAGAGTGTAAATTTATTGAAAGACAATTCACCAGCAAGTTTTGTTACGCCGCCGCTGCCTGCATGTATTATGAGAACTGTAGTCTCTGCATGCGCGACAACCATGCTGGCGGTCTGCGCGAGCAGAACACAAGATGCCATGAGCTGACTCGTCCACTGGCGCTCGCTTTCTATGGACAGGCGTCAGGCATGTTTGGGGCGCTCAGCGAGATCAGTCTACTAGTCGTGGAAGAGAGCAGATGAAAGGCGCCGAGAGACTGACCTACATGTCTCGTTATCAGCGATGTATCGGTGTGCTTTAATCCTCTCGACGAAGAAGGTGGTGTCCACGAGTCCCGTGCGGACGCACTTGAGCAGACGGATCATGTACTGCTGCCGGACTTCTGGGTCGAAGTCGACCCAGCGGGTCACGGCCTTCCACACGGTCTCCTCCTTGATCACGTTCAGGTTCTCGTCCGAGAAGATGGCCTCCACGTCGTCGATGTCCAGGCTGAGCAGTTCCTCGCTCCTCTTGGACACCTCGATGAAGTTCTGCATCAGGTAACTGCGGGGCAGAATGCCAGTTCGAGCGATACCACCAAAATCAGAGAAAGCCTGCTCATGACGTCGTCGTCGGTGGACACCCCGGTACTAGCCTAGCGCTCCACGTGAGACGCTGCGAGACGCACTGTCGTCGATGCTGGCGCAAGATAGGTGGCGCTGCGTCGATCTATGTTCACCCCTAAGCTAGGAGTAGGGTGCAAGTTACGTGCTCGTTGGAACAGTCGTATACCGCTATATTTTGCCACGCTTGAACACACTCTTGCCCATACACACACACCCAGAGAACGGGGTCGGGTGATGAGAGGGAGGCGATTGACTGGTCCGGATAGCCCGTAACTCCCTCCTTCAGTGTCAGGTTGTGGGTGAACTTATCATAGCGATTATGTTTGAGAAAAGAAGGGCGCAAGCCTCGTCTTCTAGGTGGCATTGGTTTCGTCGTTTCTTTTACTGCAATATCTAACCTTCACTTTTCTCTTAACGTCAGCACAAAGTAGTCGAGGTAGGACAAAGGTCCAAGCTAACCTCCGTATTTCTTTCATCAATACCCAGGGTGGAAATGGTCACTAGAGCTAACCTGAGTATAAATAAGTTCAAGTACTTCCTTATTGCGACTGCGACCTTCCATGCCGGCCAGCTTTTGAAATCGGTTGATATGTATCCTTAGATCTTTATAACCTGAAAATGTTTTACTCTCAATCAAGCTGATACGCGAAAGAATTCATTCTCCCGCATCTACTCAGAACCGACCGCTGTGACGGGTTTTACGGATGAGAGCGGTCCTTGGTGCTTAGATTGGTTTTCTCTACACTCTACACCAGAGGTCTCAAACACGCGGCCCGCGGGTCGCATGCGGCCCGCGACTCGCTGGGACGCGGCCCGCAAGTAACCGGCTCCGAGCTTTTGTCCCTATGTCTTGAGCGTTAAGAATTGCCTGTGCCATAATAATCTAATGTCACCAATTCAGTAATGCTACATACGCAGCTCTGCTCTTAAAATGTTATAACAATGTTTCGTTCTAATTTTCGCTCCTCAGCTTTTTGTCACCTTCAGCTGCAAGAGCTCTCGCTCAGTAGCAGCGATTGCCGAAGATAAAGCTATGAGCTTAGAATTCTCGCCTTCAGACACTACCGTAAAAAATACAAGTATTTTATCAAACTGCTTCTATAAAAATCGCCAAGAAAGCAATAACTGTCGTATAAAGAAATCTTGAGTTTGAATAATTTCCGATGTATTTAGCAACGGAAACTACAGTGCACGCACTATTTTGTTCTATAAAAGAATTGCAGCATGGTGGCGACGCATTGTAATTTTTATTCTTGATATCACACCAGGTCAGAGCCTAAAGTAGCCCCCAAAACGAATCAAACCTACAAATGTGACAAGCAGGACCGTAAAGGTCCTTCTCCATTGCCCCCCCCCCTCCCCCCCCCGCCGCCGCCGCCTTACATTGGCCCTCGACCTTTTGCCCCCCCCCCCCCCCCCCCCCACTCAAATGAGTTTGAGACCCCTGCTCTACAACCTAAAAAGTTATATGTGTTCACTTTCCTGCAGAACACACAAGCAGCCATTCATTACGAAGAACGCAAGGGCTCTGGGAACGACCAAGCTCGAAAAACTATTGACTTAGAGAATACCTGACGTGCGCAGACAAAATATATGCATGACTTTTCACTTAATCATTGTTCCTACGCACGTTTTTTTTTTTTGTTTTTTTTTGTGTGTGTGTGTGGGGGGGGGGGGGGGGGGGCATGATAAACTTTTCACTTCCTGAAAAGTTTATCATGGTCCCCAGCGATTTTCTAGCGACATGTTCTGTAGGAAAAAAAAACAGACATTCTTAGAGTTCATAATATATAGTAGCAAAATGAGCAATGACACCCATAACTCTATACTACGACAGTTCTATAGTCACTGGCAGGGTGAGAATGGCAGGTAGCAATTTCAGTTGTCCCCTCTCCAGTGCGAGCCTCGTACCCTCGGCAACGCTTCGGTGTCTCGTGGTGAGCCTAGACCGTGCACGCGCAGCCAGAGCACGACGGAAGGCAAACAGCGCGTGCTGAGGCCAGGCGGAATTCAAAAGAGACACTCCGCCGTTCTCTTCTTGTCAGTGACATTTAGTATCAAGTTATGCCGATATATGCGTGCCACGCGGGAGCAACTTCCTGGGCACTATGAAGTCAAAAACCGATCCTCTCAGTGGTGAGTATAAGGTTTGCTATAATCATTTAGAGTTATTGGCACTCGAGAAACTGAATCTCTTCAGCGCGTTGTTTAGGATTCAAAATGCTTGACGACTGTGATTTTAAGTACTTAATATGCTGAAGTACCGACAATTTCTGCGGTAATATAAGGTCAGAGGAAAATGTGGCCTGTTATTACCTGGCTCGTCGCCTAACTACCCGGTCCTCACCATTATTTCGCGCTAGCACCGTAATCCCGGAGTGACATTGACACTCCGGAATGACAATGACAATAATACAAATCACAGAAGGGTAGGCCACTTACCCTTTAATTAACAACATTAACACGTTCTACTCTGGTCCTTTGCATTAAACAGCGTCCCTGCAGCGCCAGATCCTCGCGTAGCGGTGGTGGTGCCTCAAGCCTCTGTCTCTATGGCGCTCGAGAAGCCTACGACAGTAGATGGCGGCAGCTACCGCTCCCCAATACCGGGGAGAAAACGCCGAGACTGCGGCGCATCCAGCTGTTCGAACCACGCAAAACCTTTCCGCACCAAGGCCATCGGATATTCGCGGATTGCGATGCAGTCCTTTGGTAAAGTGCTTAGCTAGACTGTTAGCGTGATAGCTCCTTTCCCTGTGCGACTTCCCGGCGCTCACTTGTAAGCCTTTTCGGTGAGGTCGAAGCAGTTGTATAGCTTGGCCACGTTGTGGATGGAGATGCAGTTCTCCGGCGCCATGATGGACACGAGGAATTCGCAGCAGTCCTTGACCATGCCCATGACGCAGAGGTAGTCGGCCGCCTCCAAAAGACTCTCGACGTTGTCGCAACCGACCCAGGTGACCCGCTTGTAGGCGAACTCGACGATGATGGCCAGCGTCGCCTTGGATACGCCCGGTACGAGGACCTCCTGCCTCGCGCTGCCATGGATGGGACTCGCGAACAGGGCCCTGGTGCCGGCGCCAGCGGTGCAATAAAATAGACGTACGTGAACAAAACACCGGTAAGGGTCGCGCCAAACGGTGGTGAATCTTGTCATCCTGTGGACATTTTCATTTCACGTGCGCGAGTGAATACACGAACTCAACTCTGTGACGTCACGGCGCGGTGGTGGCGCGTCGGGCACACTTTTGGTCTGGGGCTGTGGGCAGAAGTCCCCATGCCAGACGTGTATTCCTGCGTTGTTTTGAAAGGAACAAGACAAGAACCTGCCTTCTCGTCAAAACGCCGCGACTGGGGCCGTACCAAAAGAGTCCAGAAAGGTTTAAAAATCAGTTTTCACGTGCTAGGTTCGTCCGAGAACGTGAATATGCGCCGTGAAAATGGAAAAGCAGACGCCGTCGTGGACAACGATTGCTTGGGCGGGAAGCACTTCGGGTTGAATTCACGGATACTTGTGGTCATCAGATTTATTTGTTTTGTTCCAACATGAACGCCAGAAAACCGTCAAGTTTTGCGGACAACCTGCGGACTACGTTCAGTGCGTAAGTTCAAACGGCCGCCTGATCGTTCGAACTGTCGTCTGCTCTTTCAAACGTTTCTGCTTGTCGTCTGCTCTCTTAGACGACGCCGGCCCGTAGACCAAATGTTGGCCCGGTACTTGCGATAAGAAGTAAGTGCAGGCCTCGAAAAACTAAGTTTGAAGGTTGGTAAGCAAGCTCGATGTAAACAGTAGATACAAAGAGATGTAGATCATTGTTACCAGTGACCATCACCGGCTTGTTATGGCTAATTCACTTAATCCGATTTTGCTTGCGATTTTTAGTATCGAGGTCGACCATTTTAGCTGCGGTTCACGCTTTTGCAGCCCGAGCGGTGTCGCAACTGAAAATTGCGGGCGAAATCTCATCATGCGAATCAGGCTTTAGCGTACATATACTGCGGCATCCACGCGGAATAAATGGCCACATGTCACATTATTCACGCGAAGTTTTGCGGTGTACCGAGCCTCGGTAATTTCGCTGACGCCGCTCAAGTAGTCAGACATCGCCGGGAAGACGTTGAATCAACAATTCGAACGCGAAAAAGGGCAGGGGGACTCACACCGACGCCGACAACATCGCATTTCAACGGTTTGTTTATGGGTGAAGGCGAGCTTCTAGCCCACACCCCCATCGCGCATGAGCGACGCCGGTGGCGCCCACTAGGGGCGCTCCGGTTTTTTTGTAAACATGAGTTGGTGTATAGCAGGCCCGCTCAAAGCGTCGCTGTCGCTTTCTTAGCTTCTTTTTTGCCAGCATTAGCCGGTGCACTTACGGTGAAACGGAGTACGACGTTAAACGCTAACTCGGAGAATCTATCATTTTAGAAATATCCGGCGCCACCTCGCGAAAAACGGGGATTCAACACTTCAAAAAATGAAACAGCGCGCATTAGGACGGAGAGGGAAGAAGCTTTTTTTGAAGAAACTGGAGGCACAATAGGCACAAAGAGGACGTTGGGGGAGCTCACTCAATGTCACTGCAACTCAGTGAAACAAGCAGAATCCCCCTCTCTCTCTCTCTCTCTCTCTCTCTCTCTCTCTCTCTCTCTTGGTGTACGGAGTTGCCACGCTCGCTTGAGCACGTGCTCACGTATTTTCATACCAGAACCTCTTGAACTGGCGATTTCGGAAAATGGTCCATTATGCACAAAGGCGAACGCGAAACACAGCAATAGAGCTAGGTCGAACTCCACGGTGCGAATATGCGTCAAAAATGCGATGACTTTCATCCAGCTGCGTTCACTCCGCTCGCAGCGTCAGAACAGTGGCTGTTGCGCCGCGCTCGAAATAAGCGTCAGGCCAGACGAAGGTATGTCGGATGTTCGACACATATTTGTTCCACGGAGTCCAGCCCTAAAAGTAGATTATAAAACTAACGACCCCGGTCCATCGTCATCAGATGCAGCTTTGAACTATATGCGGTTATTCACTCTGAAGACCAATCATTCCTCTTCCTGGATCCGCTCGGCCACCCAGAAGGGCGAGCAATGTCGCACCACAATAGGCATCCGTCTCATTACAAAAAAAAAAAAAAAAAACATAACATATTTGCCCTTTTCGTCATTTGGCTATAAAATCGCGATGCCGAATACCATTCGCATTTGTTTGTGTTGGTTAAGCTAATTAAAGAAAAACAATAACTGGAATTTTAAATGCAGTGGCCGCCATAGCTGCTGAATACATTGCTGTCGAGCGCGTGCTGATTGTATTCTTTCACAGCACCTCCGGAACGGGCACTTCGCGCCATCAACGCTGTCTTTGGTAGACGGTCAATCGAGACGATAAGGGGACAATAAGGGGACAATGAAGACCCGTTTACGCACTCGCGCGTTTGCTTACGATTGAGTTCTTGGGATCTTTTCCGACGAGAAAACATATTGGCACGCTGGCGCCGTGTATGAGGTCACCCTGAAACTGCATTTTACTAGAGCCAAGGTTTTGCTGTGTTAGCGAATCGAATGTACGTACTATCTAAGAAATTGTCGTTTAACAAATAGTCAAAAGTTTTTCAAGCCAAAAAGAAGTAAAAGAAGCGCTAAAAAGAAAAGGAAATATACGGAAACTGGAAGTGTTCCACGGCTACCCGATAGACGGCGACAGTGTGTTATCTTCATCGTCAAAAAAACAAATGTGGTTAGGTGGCGCAAGTTGCTGCCCGATTTAAAGTGTTCAGCCGCATCCATACATCCATGCATCCATCCTCGTAGGAGGTCCCAAAAGGTTTTAAGGCACACGATCCATTCTTAACAGGGAATGGCGCCCAGTGCAAACAACCAGTGTAATCTACTGCTACAACTAAAGGAGAGGTTCCGCCCACAAGAAACAACGCTCAAACAACAATAGGGAGTTTTCGTAGATCGTTTTCGTCATCCCGCAATGTTCTCCGCAACGCGCTACGATACCCGGAACTTACAGTCAGGGCCATGGGCGCGCAAGCGCAGTAGCGGCTTCTTCGTTGCGGAGGGCTTAGCGGAGTGGGAAACGCGGTCTACGAAAACTCCCTAATAACTCGACATGTAGCGGAGCGTTGTATTTGTGGTAGCCAGTCTCGAAACCGCTGACTGATGCTCATTTCTTTCATTGGCGTCCCTAGACTCTTCTTTAGTTTCCGTGTTGCACCTTATCGTCTGGTATTTACAGAAGGCTCTCTTTGGCCCCTCGCTGTCGCGCCAGTGAATATAACCAAAACGCTCAGAATCTTAGCATCTCCACCGACGTTGGCTGTTCCTCTCCATTTTGCGGCGTTGCGGCGCGTCCGAGTGTTCCAGCAACCACTACTTATGAAATGGAGGGGGGATTCGTGGCCGGATGTGTTAGGGCCCCGCGCAGCTCCGAGCACTTGGAGCGAAAGCTCGCGCTGCAAATTCCAAGGATCTTGGGTTCAATCCTCACCCCTGCCCGTTTCGATCTGGATGAGCATCGTACCGCGGCATGCGGTCGTGTATCACTATTGCCTAATGTACGTTAAAGAACTCAAACTAGCGGTTGTACTGCACTGGCTAAATTCCCCATCTACAGCATAAGCCAGTGTCGCCGCATCTCAAAGGCAGACCGACCTTACGCAGTATAAACACGAACGTTAAAATTGATTACACATTTCATTTTACTTCTGAAATGACTTTGCCACCGCGAAGTGTTCCCGCTGAGAAAGCTAGTCGCGCCATCTTGAAAGCAGCGATCTCTGGTTCGCCGTCTGACCTGAAGTACTCGCTGCAGCTGGACATGACCACCCTGTGAACGGGGAACTCCCCGCCGTCGTGGGTCTTTAGCAGGCCGTCGCAGAGCAGGCCCGAGCCGCGCATCTCCCACAGGAACTGCAGCGACTCCTGGCACAGGGTCTCGTCCGCCTCGGCGCTGGCACCCATGGCTGACCACCGTCGCGCCCTGGCCTGTCTCTGCGGCGCCGCCGAGCGAGGAGACCCCTGGTCTTCGGGCCGACCTTCTTCACATGGGACAAGCGGCGGGGCGCGTGCCTGATTCCGGACTTCATCTTCCTCGTGTGCGGCTCGTTTTTAAAACGATAACAATGGGAACCCTGCGCGGATCTTGCTTACAACCGCCGCTTACAACCGCCCCGTTGCCTTAGCAATCCGTAAAAAGATTAATCTCGCAAGCCGTCGCAGTCGGACCGACCGAGTGCGACTGCAACGGCTTGCGACATTAACCTTTTTACGGATTGCTATGGCAACGGGGCGGTTGTGAGCGGCTTAAAACCCCGTCGCCATAGAAACCCGTAAAATGACTACCGTCGCAAGCCGTTGAAGTGGCACTTGGCCGGACTCACGCAAGTGTGTGAACCAGCCCTTAATGAAATTGGTCTATTGTTTTTGCGACTGGAATTGTTTGGATAATAAAGGCTCGTTCACACTCTTGCAACTGAGTAGGACCGAGAGAGACCAGACCGGTTTTTAATCCTCTTACGACGTAATGTAATGTAATGTTTTATTTGCTCAGGAGAGCCGCGGCACCGCAGAAAGGCACCTCTTTCTGCGGTGCCTTTCTGCAGAGACGTCTTAGAACCATCTCCGCAGCAGCGCGCCCGGTCCCTATCGTCGCAAGAGGATTAAAAATCGGTCTTGTCTCTCACGGTCGTACTCAGTTGCAAGAGTGTGAACGAGCCTAAAAACTAACGCGTGTTTCATATAGGTACAAATGCTAAGGAGTAAATCTACGCGACATTTACTGAAATTACACACATTGCTGCATCGCCCCTTTAACGTGCATCACGCCATATAGTAATATACCTTTTCGCTAAATTACTGAAGCACAAAAGAGAATGCTGGGGACTGCGTAGGTACACGCGCTTGCATTCCCTATTTAAAAGATTCGAAGCAAATAACCAAAATAGGGCATCTGTGGAACGTACGTGCCAAAAACCATTTGTTTTATTTGCGGGTTTTTCTTTTCTTTTTTCTTTTTTTACGCATACGGTTTTTGATCAAAGCGGGCAGTAGTGGGAATGGATCACTGATGAACCCTATTTTCTGGGTTCCACAGCGCGAGCTTTCTTTTTATGTACTCGGAGCTGCAGTCACCGATCCCCCTAAAAAGGGGATCGGTGTATTCACACGAGGGAGAAATCCCGGGGATTTCTCCGTCGTGTGAATTCACACTGGAAGTGGATCCGGAACCGCGAAGCGGATCCGAAACCGCGTAGCAGATCCGCGCGTTCTCAATCGCAAAACGCTAGGATCGAGCGATTGGGGCGCGTCTCTGCCTACCACTTCTCGACCGATTTCTCCCAATCGTTTTCGCCAAACCGCGAAGCGACAACCAAACGCAACGCGACGCTCCCGTGACGTCGGTGGCTTTCGAAACAAGTTGGCATCTGTCGCTAATGACGCATCTAAAGCGAGTCACCAGCGACCTAGCGTTGAAGGAGACAAATCAACGAAGAAACGTGATGTTCGCGTCCGTTGCTTGAGACCATTTGCTATATCACCCAAGCGGGATACGGACGTTTCGGTGTAGGACGTTCCGGTGTAGGGCGTTTCGGTGCGGTCTTTTCGGTGCACGGACTTCGCGGTGCGCGGACATTTCGGTGTGGGACTTTTCGGTGTGGGACTTTTGGTTGCGCGGACTTTTCGGTGCACGGACATTTCGGTGCACGATCATTCAAAATCTCGAAAGTTTTTGTTGTTGTTGTTGTTTTTTTTAATGCAATAATCATTATTTTACGCAGAAGTGGTTTTTTTCGCAATTTATACATTTGTAGGCTTGGTCATGTATTTACGATCACTTATATACGCAGCACCACCCTGCGGCAGTACTGGATACGTTGGACGTTATGTTTATTTCACCGGTGTCTCTTTTCCAACGTAACTATACTTCGTCTCACCCTACGATGGACTAAAGGCAAAAGCTACGGACCGACAGATCCAATCACGAGCCACTTAGAAATTGAGCGGTATTTCGCTTCGATGGACGCATCGGTGCCCGCGTCTCGGATTACTGATGAGGGGGACGGGTGGGCAGTGGTTTGAAACGAAGGGCACTGAATAGGGAGTTTTAGAATAGCGCACGCTAAAGCTTTGCGCACGCAAAGAATAGCGTCGTCGACACTGCGCATGCTCCGAACGCAAACCAGGTTTTGCGCTTTGCGTGCGCAATTTTAGCGTGCGCTATTTCTCGGAAATAGCGTGCGTACGCAAAGAGTCTTTGCGCTTCTCCAAGGAGGATTCGTGATGACAAGTTGGCTAAAGCCAAGACGAGCAGGGTTAAAAAAATGGCGGCTTGCAGGATTATGCTGGCGGCTGCTTGGGCGGCGTCGTGAGTGTAGGGTCGGCGGCATCCTCGCGACTGCGGTTTTCAATACGGGATGACATTGTACTCGGTTTGGCAACGATCACCGGCAACTTGATGCTCGCGACGCGCGAACGTTTCTCGGCGAAGGTACGATGTGCGAAGCAACGTTGGTGCGAAGGTCAGTACACGAGACCTCTCTTGCCGAGGCGACGCAAGCGGGCACGATCGGTCAACCGCTCGCGTCGCATTCTCATGTTTAAACAAATCTAAAATGCTACTCTGGACCATGAAACTTTTTTTTCTGAAGTTACAGCATTTCGTGTGTGAAATAAAAATTGTTACTGTATCTTGGTGGCGTCGCAAGCGCGAGATGCTTGGGCTTTTGCGTCGCGACGGAGAAACGCTATTCTAAAACTCTCTTGCGTCGCGTGCGCTAATACAAGCGCTAAATTTAGCGCTAGCGTGCGCTAAAATTGCGTACGTTATTCTAAAACTCCCTAATGACTCAACAATTTTACATCTTAAAGAAAGCCACGACATATTGGCATATAGGCTGCTTGCAGCGCCGAAGCTATAGAAATGATGCGGCGCTTTTGGATTCGAGCATTATTCGTCCACCCCTAATCATTGTTAAGCGTGTCATCGTGTCATAGTATAGCGTGGAACGTGATTGGACCTGGCGGCCCGTGGCTTTGGCCTTTAGTCCATCGTAGGATGAGACAGAGTATAGACGCATCACACTAGTATTTACGCGTTGAGTCGATACAGGGCGTTCTCGGCGCCTTCTGTAAATGTGTGGGTTTTATTATTGGTAATATGCGTAGAAAAGGCTCCAACAGCGAGAAGCTTGAGATTGTTGAAAATATACTCGAGACATGTGATGTGACTAGTGCGTACGTTGGAAAAGAGACACCGACAAAACGAAGCATAACGTCCAACGCCTCCAATCCTCACGCAGGATGGTAATGCGCCTAACAAAGTAACTTAGGTGGTATATCAGTAAGTGGCCGTAAATGACCAAGTCTAAAAAACTATAAAGTGCGAAAAAATAAATTTTTAGCTAAAATAGTGCTTATTACGTTTAGAGAAAACTAAAAAAAAAAAAAACTCGTGATTTTGATTTCCCATGCACCGAAATGTCCGTGCACCGAAATGTCCGCGCACCAAAAAGTCCCACAACGAAAAGTTCGTGCACCGAAAAATCTGCACCGAAACGTCCTACACCGAAACGCGTCAGCAGTTGCTAGAGCTGACGCCAGCACGTGCGACGCGTGGAACACCAAACTCTGCATTCTCCTTGATGCTTGGGTAATATAGCAATAGGTCTATTGACTTAATCTTAAAGGCCCTTAAGCCTGGGTTAGATATTTGCATTCGACTGCGTTTGACTGCGTCGCGGCTGCGAGAAACCAGGACATCCCTGCTGGTTATATCGCGTACGAAGATAATGCCTTGAACTGGATTCCACGCTTCATACGAAGCACAGATGAGCCGGTGACTCGCTTTCGGTTCTCGACGCAACGCAGTGAAACGCACTCCAATGGAAGTGTCTGAACCGGCCTTTACGCACAGCTGCGTTTGAGAGCGTTTTACTGCGTTGCGTCAAGAAATTAAAGCGAGCCACTGGCACATCGGTGCTTCGTATGAAGCGTGGAATCCAATTCAAGGAATAGCTTGGCACGCAACATAAGAAGCAGGGATGTCCTGGTTTCTCGCAAACGCAACCCGGTCAAACGTAATCAAACGCAACTGTGCGTAGGGGTTTCAGTGGGCTTCGCTCCGGTAGTTTGGTTCGCATAAGCTAGTTTGTTTATTATTTGGGGTGCCAACGCTTGTCGCTGCGTTCCCTTTTAGTCTTTGCCAGTAGAACATCGGAACCCGCACCCGATCGACCGAAATGACAGCTTTTGTAGCCACTAGGGCAGTCGCATGAACTACTGAAAGCTTCCGACAACGTGCATGACCAGCAAGAAGGCCGGTAGAGACGTCGTGAGCCTATATAATAGCGTAGCCAACACACTACCACGGAGCTGGCAGGGTTATTGCACTAGGTCCGACCCGAAAATGTTAAATAAAATCAATTCAAGAAATAAAGTGTACGTACCAGACGATGAATAGGTAATCCAAACGGTGTTTATTTGAGCTTAATGGCAAACGAAACACCAGGTTCGATCGACGTGTGGGTGACGAGAGGGGAGTATGCCGCCGACGAAGTCACGACCGGCTAGCATCGAACCCATCCCCCCACCACGATCTACCAGTGCCGCTCACTTCCCTAAAATGATAAGGGCGAACAACGAGGAGGGAAAACTGGCCCTCTATTTCGAAAACAAGGTCAGCTATTCAAGCGGAAACGGTGCACTTCGAAGAAAGGTTCGCGGGCCTCACCTCCTGAGTCAGCAAATCACGCCTGACTGGGTTTTGTTTGTGTGCGATGTCGAGGGAATCGCAGACGAGTTTTGCGGGTTCGTGTGTCTTTTTTCGCTGCCTGGGAAAAAGAAAGAACCGCCACCAACTAGGGTGCCTCAATGTCCTTCTGTTCAGGGTGATGCCACCGTTTGTAGTACCCGATGCCGACAGCACGCGCTCTCGGGGAAAATACAAAGAAATCGACGAAAAC